TGCATGCGGTACAGAATAAGGGAAAGTAAAAAGTACGGGGTCTGGGGCCACCCTTGTATAGCAGCCTAAAACTTGCTCACACTTTCGTACTGTTGCCCACAGCTAAAGAGCTGGGGAAATTTTCGCGAACTGCTATACATTTTGTGTAACAGTAAAGAGTAGCGAAGCAGTCACTTCGCGTAAAGGGGGGAGGGGGCGGTATTAGAATTTTGCACAACGTATAGTTTCTGTTGAGCTAAACCTCTCGACTTTTAAAGGTGACCTGCATTTGACGCGTCTGTTCTCCAATCTCTTTTTCAGGAATACTGTCTCCTTGTTAGAATATGCTGAAGATACCGAAAGGGCTCAAGAAAAAGAAGAAGGGCAAAAAGGGTAAACACAAAGGAGACGAGGATCTCTTCACCCCCGAAGAGCTCGAAGAATACAAGAGGCAGAAGGCCCTTCGGGAACAGCAGGAGCACCAGGAGGCCGAGGCCGAGGAGGCCGGCGCCGACGAGCAGGCGCACGCGCACGCACCCGAGCACTCACACGCGCACGCGACCAGCTCTGCCGCTTCCGACAACGGCGCCGCCACCGCCGCCGCTGCCGAGGACGAGGACCGCCTGCAAGCACTTCTCGGCGGAGTCGACTCCATCCTCAACAAGACCCAGCGCGACCTCGAGCGCATCAAGCAGACCAGCTTCTTCCAGCGCAAGCCGACCCCAAGCGAGCTCGAGAGCAAGAGGGCCCAGGGCGCCCCGGGCCGTCCGACCGCACCCACCGCTGCGGCGGTAGCCACAGCGTCCGCCTCCAAGAAGGGCAAAAAGAGGTGGGTCGGATTTGAGGGTGACGGGGACGAGGACGACAGCGAGGACGAGCACCCGCACCCACCCGAGGCGAGCGCAGCCGCCGCGGCCGCCGCCTTCGAGCCCGCGCCAGAGCAAGCCGCCGCACACGAGGAAGAGGAGGAGAGCGAGGAGGAGGAGGACGACGGAGATGACATTTTCGACACTTCGTACATCGATGTGATCACCAGCGGGGAAGTCAAGCTCGCCTACATCCCGGACAGCCCCACCGAGCAGCCCGACGACGGCGACGACCCGTTCGACACTACATACGCCGCCAAGGTCATCGGCAACGACGAGGACATCAAGAAGCGGCAGAAGCTCGAGAAAGTCAGCCTTGGCATCGCCGTCGACGTCCTCACTGGCAAGGCTGCGCCCCCGAGCAAGCCACCCCCACTCCCAGAGAACGCCGTCGCCAAGCGTGCGGTCCCCCGGCGCGTGAAGCCTGTCGACCTTCTCAAACTCGGCAGCTTCGACGAAGGGTCGGTCCCTGCACCAGGAGAGCCGACCGAAGGAGAGGCTCCAGCCAAGGCGGACGAGCCCCTCAGCCTCCTCGATGACGACGAGCTTCTAGCTATCCCAGAGGATCTCCCACCCGTCGGCACCCCTATCATACCCCCAGCATCCATAGTCACTGCTGCACCCGGACCGAAAGAAGACCACACCCAGGAGCAGGACAAGCAGGAGGACAAGCAGATCGACCTCTCTGAGTTTGATGTTATCGCGGAGAAACCCGCAGTCCAACTCCCAGTCAGTAACCTCGCCCTTGTCGCCGCCGCCCTAGGAGGACCACCAGTCCCAGCACTCGAGGAGGAGGACGACGAGCTCGAGGACGAGTTTGCCGCTCTCGCTCAGGAGTCCCTTCAGAAGCAGAAGGAGGAGGAAGACGAGTTTGCTGTCGACGGCGACGACCCCTTCGACACCAGCGCCGCGGCCGTCATCCTTGGCGAGCCCGACGAGCCCGTCAGAGAGACCAAGCCCGCCGCCGATGTCGATGTCCTTCTAGCCGGGCCCCCAGCTTCCTGGTCGGCCTTTGACGACGACGAGCACCCGCACCCGCAACTTAAGCCTTCACGACCCCCGCCGCCACGCCCCGCAGCGCCGCACATCGCAGCACACATTGCACATGAGGAGGCCGACATCGACCCCTTCGACACTTCGTTCGCACAGAACATACTCCCCGGCAAAACCGAGCTCAAGTTGATCGAGAAGGAGATCCTTAGCGACCACAACGAGGCACGCATCCTCTCAAACAGCGACAGTGACTTCGACTTCAACCCCCGAGAAGGCGAAGAGCAAAAGCAGCAACAGCAGTCACAAGTCAGCTTCTTCGTCACCGACCCGGCTGGCGATATCGACCACAGCCCGGTAGTGCACCGCGATCTCCTGGGCGGCAGCAGCAGCGACCTCTCGCAGCTTGGACACGAGCCCATCGCCGCGGACGCCGCCAAAACCGAGGAGGACGAGGAGACCGCTCTTCACGACGACCCCTTCGACACCTCTGCCGTTGACACGGTAGCAGCCCCTGGGCGCACCGAGCTTCGCTACCTAGAGAAGGAGATCCTAGGCGACACACCGACAATCGTCGCGGAAGACGACGATTTCGATCCCCGCGCCGAGGAGTCAAAGACCCGAGCCGCACGGCCCGACGTACTCCCCGGAGTCCCGAAGACCGTCGCGTTTGCGCTCCCTTCACCCGCAACTGACCTGCTCGCTGGTGGTGAGGAGGCGGGAGCCAAGTTCAGCAAGCCCCTGACGCCGTACTACTCAGATCAGGCCCCTACTATCGCCACTGACGTCGACCCGTTCGACACTACACACGTAACCAACCTCGCACCGGGCAAGACCGAGCTCAAGATCCTTGAGAGTGAGCTGGTAGACGGCTCGTCCGGCGCCCAGCCTGCCCTCTCTGACGACGAGTTTGATCCTCGTGGGGCCCAGTTCCGACCCGCTCCCGCGGATCCCAACCAAGACCTTTTCAAGGTCGAAGACGGCGAAAACGTCGGACATCGTCCTCTGACTCCAGCCGTCGAGGAGCAAGTCGACGTCGATCCGTTCGATACCTCGATCGCGAGCAACATCGCCCCAGGCAAGGCTGAACTCAAGGTCCTAGAGAACGAGCTCATCACCGGAGACCCCCAGCCCTCCATCAAGCGCACCTACACTGACCCAGACTTCAACCCGCGAGACGAGCCTGGCCAGTCCTGCCAGGACCTGCTCAACGAGCCGGCAGACCCCCATCACAGCGCAAAGCCCCTAACGCCCGTCCTTGGTGAACAGACGTCTCTGGAGAACGCAGAGGACATCGACCCGTTCGACACGTCCATCGCGACCGATATCGGCCCGGGCAAAACCGAGCTCCGCATTCTCGAATCCGAACTAATCGGCCAACAGTAGACAAGCAGCAAACATGGAGTTCCAAGCGGGCCAGAACCCGTTCCTCATGGACGACACCGACTACGGCGCGCCCGCCGGCGGCGCGGCCAGCTCCAACCCTTTCTTGACTGGCGGCGACGACTACGACATGCCGTCCATGGCGGACAACCCGTTCCTCAGCGCCATGGGCGGCGCGGAGGACGGCGCGGCCGCTTACCTGGCCTCGAATGGCGCGAGCACCAACCCCTTTGCCGCATTCGCCGCGCCGGAGCCTGCGCCGGCGGCCGCCCCCGCGCCGGCCTGGGACGCGTACGGCTACCAGGCGCAGCCCGCGGCCATCCCGCCGTCGACGCTGCACCTGCAGGACAACGCGATGCCCGCACAACCCGGCGTGGACTACTGCGCCGAGACCAGCGACATCTTCGGCGGGCAGGCGCGCGCGCAACCGCCGAGCCAGCCCACCTCGGGGAGGAGCTCGCCCATGCGCCCGCCGCCCCCACGGCCCATGCCGCCCGAAGAGACCAAGAACCTCATCCTGAGCGTGACGGGCACCATGGAGGCAACATCACATCACCTCCTCGATCGGCTGCCCCCGACCAGGACGCCGAGCCCGACTCTGATGCGCGACACCCCTAGCCCGACTGAGCAGCACTACGCCGACTTCCTTGGCGTGGGCGGCGCTGGCGTGGCCCCGGACACGTCGCATGAGGTCAACCTGCTCGGTGACCTGGACGACTTGACCATGCCTCCACCTATGATCGCGACCCAGCCAATCGCTGTGCCACTTACGTCCAGCGACATCATGGACATGTTCGACGCAGGGGCGCCCGCCCCAGCAGCTGCTCCAGTGTCAATCTTCGGGGTGCCTCCGTCAGAGCCGGTAGCGAGCGAGCCCGCGCCCGCCGCGCCCGCCCCGGAGGTCCAGCCGGCCGCTCCTGTGGCCGCGCAGGTCCCGCCCGTGGTCGTGCAGGCTGCCGCCGTGGCTGCGCAGCCCGCCCCGGTGGTCGCGCAGCCCGCCCCCGTGGTCGCGCAACCCGCCCCCGTGGCCGCCCAGCCCGCTGCCGTCACGTCGCCACCAATGACCACCCCGGTGGCAGCGCCGCCGGTCAGCACCCCCGCCAAGGTGCCTCCAGCGCGTCCGCCACCAGCACGGCCGCCCCCGAGACCTGCACCGCCCGCCAAAGTACCGTCTCCGGTCGTCACACCCACCGCACCGCCCCCAGCCCCGGCGAGGGCCACTCCGGACACTGCCGCTCCCCCTCTGCCGCCAGCCCCGGAAGTCCCGGCGAGGACGCCGAGTGCGACGACCACGCCGACACGGCCGGAACTGCCCCCTCCTCCCACATTCACCCCCGCACCAGCCCCCGAGCCTGTACCGCAGCACGACCAGAGCGACCTGTTCGGCGTGCCCACCGCCAACGGCGGGCCCAAGAAGACAGCCGAGATCATGAACCTCTTCGGCTCGGACACGGCAGCGGTCAATGCGCTCAACTCTGCCCCGTCAGCTCAACCCGCGAACGACTACTTCGGGGGCGGCGGGGGCTTTGGGGGCGAGCAGCGGGCCGCGCCGGCCCCAGTCGCAGCACCGGCCCCAGCCTCGGCCTTTGGCGCCTCCAACGACAACGACTTCGATGCCTTCTCTGCCAAGTTTGAGAGCGCTTCTGCCACGACCATCACCTCGGACCCATTCGCCGACCCCTTCGGCGGAAGCGGGGGTGGTGGTGGGGGCGGGGCGGACGCCTTCGGTGGAGGAGGCGACGCTTTCGGTGGGAGTGATGGTAAGTGCCACATTTTTACGAGTTGTTTATTTGCATCTGGGCACTGCGCGCCAATAACGGCGAGCTGCTTGTTTACAGCTTGGGGAGCAAGCGCAACTCAGACGTCAGGTGGCGGCGGTGGCGGCGGTGGTTTCGGCGGCGAGGACGGCTTTGACGAGTTCCTCTCGCTACAAGCGCCCCCGCCCGTGCCGCAGTCGACGCCGGCGCGTGTCTCCAGGGCGGGTTCAGCCGATTCCGACGACGCCCCCGATTTCAGCGTCGTCATCAAGTAAGTCGCACCTTTCGGTTTTCTAGTCCGCAGACGAGCAAGCTGGCGAATGGCGACGACAGCTTATACCGCTTATACTCACCCCCCATCTCTCCCCACAGACCTCAGAGCGAGTTCGGCACGGGCTTCGACGCCTCGGACGGCTTTGTCCCCCAGCTTGCCCCACCGCCGCCTAGACAGCAGCAGGCGGCGTTCGTGGACACCACGCCCAGGTTCAACCCGTTCGACTTCCGGGGCGACTCGGGGGCGCCCGTGCAGCAGGAGCCACAGCGCCCAGTCCTGGGTAAGTGCAAATTCTTTGAGAAGGCTCTCCATCGCTCTCCATACTTATTCCGATGTAAACTCCCTATTTGTCTGTTTTTATTTTACAGCAGGCACTCCGCCAGGCGATTTCAAACGGACCGACTCGGCCGAGACCCCGCCCACGCCCCTGTTCGACGAGGACACATCGTACCCGCTCGAGGACTTCCCCCGCATCCACTATGACGGGCCAGGATGGGAGATGCAACTTCGCCAGCCAAACCGAAAGAAGATCACCGGACAAAGGTGAGGATGAGCTGCAGCCACATCATCATGAGTATGTTTTGTGACGTGTTCGCGAGGGGCTAAACATTGTGCGTCTTGCTTGCAGATACTGGAAGAAGATCTTCATCAAGCTTCTGTATCAGGGAGATAACCCGGTGCTGCAGCTCTTCAACACACCGACTGACAAGGACCCCTTCCAGGAACTGCCTCTCCAGCCGTGTTACTGCGTGTCGGACATCAGTAAGTCCGCCTGACAATGTCTTGCCCCCAACTCCGCCGGAATTCGGGTGGTTTACTCCAATGTTTTCATGTTCAGGCGCTCAGCAGTTTGACCAGTACGGCAAGATCTTCACGGTGAAGCTGCAGTACGTGTTCTACAAGGAGCGGCCCGGCGTGCGGCCTGGCCAGGTCACCAAGGCCGAGCGGATCACCAACAAGCTCAGCCAGTTCGCCGCGTACGCGATCCAGGGCGACTACCAGGGCTGCAAGGAGTTCGCCTCCGACCTGAAGAAGCTCGGCATGCCCGTCGAGCACGCGCCACAGGTACGGCCGTGGCTCTGCGCTCGTGGGGGACGCCTGTGAGATAGGCAGCTCCGTTACGCACGAGAGGGTGGCGGGTCCACCTACCTCGCAGGGGACGAGACCTGGATCGCAAAGTGCTCAAGCCACACCTTTTGTTTTTTTTTTGCCCTGCAGATCTCGCAGCTGTTCAAGATCGGCTCGCAGACCTACGAGGACATGAAGCAGTTCTCCATCGCGGTCGAGGAGGCCCTGTTCAAGCTGCAATCGCACCGAGACCGCGCGCTCAACTACAAGCAGGAGGAGGTGCAGATCACGGCCGTGGACGAGCTGTACGTGGAGCAGGACAAGGTGGGCCACGTGGAGCGCCAGATCGCGCGCGTCCGCCTCTTCTTCCTCGGCTTCCTCTCGGGCATGCCGGACATCGAGCTCGGCGTCAACGAGATCTCGCGCCAGGGCAAGGAGGTGGTCGGCCGGCACGACATCATCCCCGTCGTCACGGAGGAGTGGATCCGGCTCGAGAGCATCGAGTTCACGTCCTGCGTGCAGCAGGACGAGTGGGACAAGAACAAGATCATCAAGTGAGTGAACGCGAGGGCCGCCGTGTGTCTGTGTGGCTGTACGCTCTGCATGTCCTCGCTCTGGGCGGCGCGCGGGTCTGAACAGCACGAGGGGCAGTTCACTTAAAATAATCAGTGTACACCCCCACAAAAATGAGACAAAAAACACTTTAAAAATGAGAAAAAGAACCAAAAAAAAAAAAAAAAACACGAAAAAAACAAACAAACAGGGAATGTCGAAAAAATTAGAAAAAAGAAAAACCGGTGTATGCTTGAATTTAAAGTAAAGTACCCCTCGGGACAGCCCCGTCGTCGCCCCCGCCCGCCCACTTGCATGCACTAACCACTAACACGACTCTCCAGGTTCAAGCCGCCAGACGCGTGCTACATCGAGCTGATGCGCTTCAGGGTGCGCCCGCCCAGGAACAGGGAGCTGCCCCTGCAGCTCAAGACCACCATGTGTGTCACGGGCAACAAGGTACGTCGGCGTGGGGACTACTAAACGCATGGGGTGCTTTGAGACGCTCACGGCTTCTTGTCGGGCAGCTTTAACAAAGGTTTCCTTCACTTTACGGCACACTCGACACACAAGCTGTCCCCCACTCTGACCGCCCCCCTCGCGGCTGTCCGCAGGTCGAGCTCCGGGCGAACGTCCTAGTTCCAGGATTCTCCAGCCGGAAGTACGGACAAATTCCCTGCGAAGACATCTCCATTCGCTTCCCGATTCCGGAGTGCTGGATATACCTGTTCCGGGTAGAGAAGCACTTCCGCTACGGGTCCGTCAAGTCCACCCACCGAAGGTACGTCATACTGCAGGCAGCGCACTCCGAGAAAGTTTAACCCCCCAGAAATTAATTTACTACAAAGTGTCGATTAAATTTTTCAAGAAAATATTTATGGATGATTCAAAGACATTTTGAGGTTTTTAAACATAACCATTGACAAGTTTTCGAATCTTCAAAACACTTAATAATACAACTGCATTTCTATGGTGCCCTTTAATTTCCAATTAGAAATTTTAGTTTAAACGTGTTCAGCACTTGTCTTGAACGTGATCTCCGATATCCGCAGAGCCGGCAAGGTGAAGGGCATCGAGCGCTTCCTCGGCACCGTGGACACCATGGAGCCGTCGCTTCTCGAGGTCACCTCCGGCCAGGCCAAGTACGAGCACCAGCACCGTTCCATCGTGTGGAGGGTGGCTCGCCTGCCCAAGGAGGGCCAAGGTAAGTAGTGCGGGCCGCAGCTGGTGCGTCGTCCCGGCCCATCCCTAACCCCCTGACGTCTGATCTCCATCTGCAGGTGCCTACACGACGCACACCCTCACCTGCCGCATGAGCCTCACCTCGTTCGACCAAATCCCCCCGGACCTGGAGCAGATCGCCAAGTACGCATACGTCGAGTTCACGATGCCGCAGACGCAGGTGTCGCACACCACGGTGCGCTCCGTGTCCATCCAGCCCCAGCCCGACGAGCCGCCGGAGAAGTACGTGCGTCAGCTGTCGAGACACGAGTACAGGTGAGTGCACGATGGGTTGCCCACGCGCCGGGCGCGCCGCGCCGCGCCGCACCGTGCTTTCAAAGACTCGTGCGAGTGACTCACACCTGCCTCCGCCGTTTGCAGGGTCGAGGTGGAGTTCACCCAGGGCGAGGGCCCCGCCGCCTACATCGCGGCCACCATGGTGAAGCCGGCCCCCGCCGCCCCCGCGCCCGCCCCTGCCGCCGTGCCCGCGCCCGTCGCCGAGGAGAGCGACAGCGACAGTGACTGAGACCAAGTAGAGCGGCGAGACGGCTGTTTCACTGCTGTTTACCAGGACAACCTGTGTAGTGCTGGTCCACTTACATGTTGGAGTCGGATAAATAGCACTTGTTTGTTATTGTGTAGAAAACGTGTGGATGTCCCCTATATCTCCTTTACTTTTGGACAGTTAGCAGAGAAATTCTATCTTTATTTTCTTCCAGCGATCTCGTTATTGTCTTCAAAGTATAGATGTAATAATCACCCTTTAAAATTAAATGTGTGTTGCAAACTGGTTGGATATGGATATTTTTCGCCATGATCTAGACTTCCATATTCCGCTTGATATATTTCATAATGACTGATATATAGGTAAAATAGATTTACTTTAGGAAGGACTGTTTGTTCAGGTCATACTATTACGCACGCAAAGTTACCTCGTCTCGGGGTTATGTATAATTATTATTGCCAAAAAGTATTTTGTTTGATGTGACTTATCTGTAGTGAACTTGCTTAAGTACATGCTTTGTGTGCGTCGTGCTTTGTAGAAAATGTTGTTCATAACGTAATTGATCTTACCTTGTAGGTGTATGTAAGCATGAAGAAATTGGTTTGACAATACTCGGCAATTCTTCTCCAGAGAATGCACTCTAAAGTTTAGTACCGAGCGCATTGGGATCGATCTGACAGTTGCCCATGCCCAGAAGGCTTCATTTTATCCTTTTTGATGCGAATAACGACGCGTCTGTAAGATGAGTTCGATCAGTGCGATTCACCTATCGCATTCCCATTTAGAACTTATGGAAAAGTTATCGATTTAGTTATAAAACTGTTGTACGTTCTTCTATTGGTGATCATATCGTTGTCGTTAAGTGGTGATATTACTTTAAATGTAAAGTTTTCCGTTTTGTGTGTGACTATGTGAGTAAGTTTTTCTGGATGCCAAAACACGATGTGTTTTCGGCAAGACCCCGATGAGTGAAAAAAGTGCCATAGAGACAGCTACCAGGATTTGTAGCACTGTACATACTTTTGTTTGTTTTTGTTATTTTTCTCATTCGACCTGGTTCGAGAGCCTCGCTCCGCCAGCCTGCAGAACTGTGGAGTATAATCTAGTCGTAAGACACGCCGTCTTGTCAGACACGTGGTTTATTATTGTATTGTCTTAAGTGTTGCGCTTTAGATATCACTGTTGTCGTCGAACACACACATTCATTTGTTATGTACAGAATCGTATAACATAGTTAACGTTGATGAAGTTACTCTAAACTAGCTGTAAAGTCCGATGCAGAACGTCACCCGAAAGACATGTGCTAAGAAAATTGCGTTCAGTCCGATTTGCGCTTAGCTTTGGGCGTAGCTAGGTGGCACATGTGTAATTTCTTGTTTCTAGCAGGGTTCGGCATCACCCACTGTGATAGCACAATGATGCATTTAGAGGATGAAAGGCAAAAGAGTGAGTGAAACCACTGAGTGTATGGAACCACGGAGCGAATGAAACTACGGAGCAAATGGAACCACAGAGTGAAAGTTGTGTGCAAGCGTAAGCTTCCTTTCGTTTTTGTTTCTTTTTTGAAATTAAGGCGCGGCTGGTGTCACTATAGAACCGGTGTCATGTAAAACGACGCTCCGCCTAATGAATGCTAAATCCCAGATATGATCAAAGTTGTGTGCAAAATTGAATTGGTAACAAAACGATATCAGAATTGTGTCGATTTCAGGACCATCTTCCAAAAATAGACACTTGTCCCGATACCGCTCTGATATCGTATTAATATGCACTCACTGGCCCTGGGAAAACAAAGGTGTTGAGTTGCACCTTTAAAGAATGCTACGGTTTTTAGTGCCCTCAAAAAAACATTAAAGCTGTTGAAGATACTAATTTTTAGCACCTTCACGGTTCTTTCATGCCTTTATAGAGGCATTAAACTTAAAAATTTCGTTGGCATCTTTGCAAAGGTGCGACTTTACACGTTTGTTTTCCCAATTTTTGTATTCGGGCATTTTGGCCTCATTCCTTCGGCGCGCTTCTGTCCGCGTGATGACCAGCCAGGAGTGCCAGTCACGCTGATTTTTCTTTCACCCATTTTCGGCCGCTGAGGCTTAAAACCTCCGGCTCCAGCGACATACCAAAGACAGCTAGTCAGCAGGCGGAGGCCCGGGCCCGACAGGTGCAACAAAAGCACCGGGGGTTGGCGCCTCCCGCCCTTTATTGTAGGTTGTATATATTATCCTCTAAGTACAGTTTAAGAAAGTAGACTAGACCTTTTTGTGTTTTTTAAATCCTTTTGTTGAACATTTTTACCTACGGATGTCACAAACGTGTTTCCGAAGCGAGTGAATTCTAGTCCGACTTTTCAGTCGTTAGGTTTAGAGAGTGGTCGCCTGTCTCCCTCAAGAAGGCTAAGCCCATCATGACAAATAACTTACCGTACAAATTAAGTCTTAAAGTAAGTGATATAACAATAACTAAGTTGTAAAGGTCACCCGCCATGGAATAACGTAGATTATACATGCAAATACTGTTGACGTGGGATGTGTTGATAACTCCCCAATTTTTGTTTTAATCGAAAGCCATAGCGGCCTCGCATTGCTCATGTTACGAGCTTTTAAAAACGAGTGCAAGTTAATTTTTTAAGGAAAAAAAATAATTCGATAACTCTAACTTTTAGGAGAGAATATCATTTTCAGTTTCGCACATTAGGGTCGCTACCGATTGTCTCAAAAAGCGGCATTCCTTAAGTACTTATTAAAATGTTAGCATAATCCGCGTGAAAGGCGTTGAGGGCTGCTCGGAGACACGCTATGGTACTTCCCTGTTGCGTGCTTCTCCGGCAGCCATTTCTTGTACATACCAATACTATGCTGGGTCCAAAAGAATCCTAGCTTAATTAAGGTATTTATCAGCATTTGTGATCAGTAGCTTCGCTATTCATTAATGTAATTATGTATTTGTTAATATGTGATTTCCTTTGCCTTGATTGTGTACCGTGCTGCCATTCTGTTTCCTTTCAAAAGAGTCTCTGCAACTGTCCCTATTTCATTGTTTTAATGTCCCTTAAGAATAGGAAAAAAATGAGTGCGTGGCTGTAGCTCACTAGGTAAAATATTACTTGGGATGAATAGACACTGTTCCAACAATACTGTAAAATGTTACATAAACGAATAAATCGATGCAAAAACCTTCTTATCAGTTGATCCGATGTCTCAATCTTTCTGCTGCTGGTTGTGTTTCTAACCATCCAAGGCAACTTTACTGAAGGGATTGTTTTTGTCTGTATATATGTATAAAAACATATTTTTGTGCGAAAACATAAAAATAACGCTTGTGAAACGCTCTAGTTCTGGAACTTTAGACATATGCACTTTGATGTAATGTATGTTCTTTAGCTAATATGATGTTATCCACCACATCATTTCAACTGTAAACAAAATATTGGAATAAGATCCAGATTAGTGATAATCTCATAAAACCATGGCAAAAGCATAAGATATGAGTGCGATCAGATTGTAAATTAAACGAGAGTGTAATTTGTTGCTTTTAGTAGAGACAAAAACTGTTTGAGGAAAGGTTCATTTTATTTTTGAATTGTGAATTTTGCGAGGTTCTATGTACTGTTGAAGTGTATTGTATGTACCAATCTACGTATCAAAGATTACTTGTTATGTATTGTCAAAGTGCATTTCAGAATTAATAAAAATAAAGAGTATATGGACAGTAAAGGTGGCTACATTCTTCCTCCCGAGCGAATCCTTGACGCTGCGCGCATGAACGCCTTACGGCGGGGGGATAGGCCACACCCACCAACAGCGGAGCCCGGCGGGTCAGCCCACCCCGCAGGGGCTCCCCTCGCGTGGCCAGAGCGGCGAAGCCAGAGGCCGCGGAGCGGGAGCCCGGCGGGTCTCCTCTCTTGCCGAAACCCACCTGCTCCTCGCGCGCTATGCGGGAATTGCGCGAATCACTACTGCTTCTACACGTCTTTCACCGCAGCCAGCTCCATGGTGCGTGGCGTGAATCAGTCACCTCTCGCCTACGCGACCAGCCTGAACTCCTGCCGGGAAGATGCGAAGAGCAACAACCCCCCCCCCCCCTTTTTACACACACAAAGATGGTAACTATTGTTCACAAAATAAAAAAATATATTAAAAAATAATCATCATAACAAGAATTTAGTTCTCTACAGCCTCAATTTTCATACATTGATAGTCGCTCGACGCGGGATGTCACAGAGTAACATAAAGTACAAATCTACTTCTACTACAGCCCGCGGTCGTATCACGTGCAGAGCAAAGAAACAAACAGCAGACTTGCCATTAGTACGTTCTGTCCAGGACACTTGCCTTAGAGCACAGACCTATGACATATGTCGCAGAGCACAGTTACGGACGAGGGCAGGAAGCCACGAATGGTCTGCATCTGAAGCAAGCACACATCGACCTGCGAGCACACCGAGTGCGGCCGCTCAAGTACGAGCTGGCGCAGGGCGTTCAGACCGCAGGCGGCAAGGTCAGGACCGAGGTCGGGGAAATAGAAGTCCCGATCAGCGTTCTCCCTGGTGGTGGAGCAGTAGATCTGGAGCCCTTGCAGTTTCGGGGCAAATGCGCGAATCATGGACAACGCGGTGTTTCTCTGACCCAAATGAAAAGAAACGCCTAGCCACAGCGGCTCGCAAAATAGAGGGCGGTTGAAGGACACAGCTGGAGCATTGCGGCTGTATTCGATATTTAAGCTACGAAGCTTTGTGAGGTGGCGCATGCTTTGGAACTGGTTCAATACTGGACAAATTAGGGATAGCTCTTCCAGGTGCACTGGCAAGTCCGGATAGACACTATAATCTTCATCGTATTCAACAATCAGTCTTCTGAGCAATTTCATTTCTTTTACCTCTTCCATGACACCCGGCCCAACAGGACCGGACATCTCCAGTTCTTCAAGGTGAGGAGCCACAACACGCAGAAGTTTTTCCGAACCACGGCCACTTAAGTTTCTAACAGAGCGCACATGCTTCCAGCGCCGTCCGTTCCGTAGAATGTCGTCTACCTTTAGATCCCCTTCATCGTCAAGGTCCGCTTCGTCGTCTATGGAGAGGACGGAGATCCTTGGCGGCCCCATGTAGGACGAAAGAGCGGTGGGATTGGCGTCGTCAACCTGGAGCGTAAGAGAACGTGTTAGACTGCTGCCCTGCGCCTGTCCACCACTGCAGAAAGAGGTCAGCGTAGCCGGCCCTGGACGCGCAGATGCGTGTCTACCTTACCTTCTGCAACTGGCCGTCCATCCGAAGCTGTTGCAGTAAAAGGCGAAAGACGTGATCGGATTGTCCTAGCTCCACGGATGCCCTCCAGGAGTCCTCGCCTTCCACCGCCACCAAGCTACATGTGGTGGTGGTCAGCAGGCGAAATCTGTCCTCCTCCTGCACGGCCAGCCGCATGAGGAATGGCGAGGGATTGATGTCAGCGCCGCCTGCCGCCTCCTGCTGCAGCTGCTCTAGAGCCTCTTCCATGACATAAAGGTGATTGGCGGAGACGTTCACTAGGAGGTTCAGGGCCTTGATCGCCTCGGGAACTGACTTGCGCAGCTCCTCCACCAGCTTCCTCCCCGCCTCCACGCCGCACTGCAGCTGCTGCACCCGCGGGTCTTCCGTTCTGGCCACCTTGCTGGGGGGTGGGGCACCCTCTATGATCTGGACCACCAAGACGTTGTCAGGGAGGGTGCCTGGGTTGGCGGGCAGGTTCTGTAAGAGACAGTAATGCCCTTATAGGTAATAATACCAAATATACTTGAGCAATGACAATTTTTATTTTCACTAACATTGTTCTACTAGTTTGAACAATAGTTTTCCAGTGAAAACGGTACATAACGTTGGAAGCTAACTTGTCTTATTACTCGTCACACCACATCAGTCTCAAAGTCTCCATAAGTAAACAGCATATACTATTTTTTTTCCCAAACTAGACTATAAAGTGTTCATTTGATGTACATTGATGCAAGTTGATTAACTGACCTTTCTGCACGTTGGACATTTCTTTCCAAGACCAGGATTCGCAAGACATTCTTTGCATATGGTGTGCCCACAGGGCAAGCTCTTGGGTCGGTGGTGACCCAAGTCAAACTTGTGAAAGCATATGTTGCACTTCAAGTCCATCTGTAACACAATGGGTAAAAGTATAGTACATAGAAGAACTGGGCTGAGTTCACTTTGATGCAGTGTAGCCCAACAATATAATCACAATTTGCTGAAAAATTGTTTGAAAAATTATCACCAATTTGGATTTTTTCAACGCATTTTGGTGACTTAATTTAAAAAGGAAAATAAATAATTAGGCACTCTACCAAATAAACACATAACCAACTTGCGGGTTATGGCGCGCGCGGCGTCAAACTAGTCTCTCGATATCATTCTCTTGACTTACATCTTTGGAAAAACACTGACACGTCCTCGAATCCAGCTCTCTCTCTGCCCGGAAATCAAAAATGCTTGCGCTGCTGGAGTGGTAGAATCACGCAAATCAAAAACTTACCACAAGGGTGTTGGTTCGAATCCGCTGCGTCTACTTCTGACTTCTGCTCTGCTACCGGTTAACCGGGCCGGGCCGTGCATGCGACGTTTCTCATACTCTGCACTGCTATGCACTTCCTGCAGCAACAACAACAGCAACGTCAATCATCAACGTCAACAGCTCAACAGAAGTTGTTGTTTTCTTTGTCTCGTTTCTCGTTTTGGCGTCACCGAGTCTGAACAGTCATCTTGAGTACTAGTTCTCCGAGTCGAAAATGTCTACGCCTATTGATGTAAGTCGAAAGTTAATTAACGAGAGTGTGCTGTGTTGTCTTGTTCAAAGCTAGTCTAAGTAATAATTACTTTTCTATACTTTAAACAATAACAAATGTTGAAACATTTGATAGTGTTGGTCAAATTGGTTTACTTTTCTTACATTTCTAGATTTTGATTAATTCTTTCAAGGTTATCAATCTGATATGTGAGTGTGACTCTTTTACATTTGTTTTTCAGATGGAACTTCAGTGCGACATCTGCTTTCAGCAGTTTAACTTAGAGGACAATAGGCCAAAAAGCTTACCTTGTGGGCACACAATTTGTCGTGAGTGCCTGCAAAATCCTGCCTTTGGGATGAAGTGTCCAAATTGCAGAAAGGTTAGTTCAAATAATATCCCTGCGGAAAAACAAAATCTATGAATGTGTCACGTTGCGTGTTCAACAACAACTTAATGGTGTTCACTAGAAAAATTTTAGTATGTTCAGTTTTCTGTGGCCACTGTGTGATAGTGACAGTTTTCTGAAACGCTTTACATTGCCCAATACATTTCATTTTTAAAGCCTACAAGAAATAAAAGCAGATATTTTGCATTGCTGTTATTCGCAATGTTATTGTCAACATAAACTATTGTATTCTGTAACTTTTTGAGTTGGGGAAGAACTGAAATTGAGTGTTTCCTTTGCAGCATTTGGCTACTGACCCTGGCGGTCTACCCGACAACTTCTCTCTGATCCGGGTGATGGAGAAGGACGGCGCTCCGGCCCGCAAAGTGGCGAGAAGGGAGGACCCCAAGGTGCAGCAGCTGCAGCGCGGCGTGGATGCCGGCAGGAGGGTCGTCCAGGTGCTGCGGCAGGCGATCCCCATGGCGGTGGAGGCCCTGCACCGGCAGCTGGACTCGTCCGTCGCTCACCTCCGCGACATGGAGTCGGCCCTGGACAAGCTGCTGCGCGGGGAGCAGGGCGGCGACGAGGGCGAGCTGCAGGGCCCCACGCCGGACCTCGCGGTGAAGCGGCTGCGCATGGAGGACAGCCTGCGCCTGCTGTCCACCGACAAGTGCACCGTCGTGGCGGAGGAGGGCGCCACCACCTGGGGGGCGTCAGTGGAGCTCGGACGGATGGACGACGTACTGCGCCTGCTGCTGCTGCAGCTGCGTGCGGACAGCCAATTGCAGAAGGTAGGCCGCCCACCTGGGGCTCTTGCTTTTCCTCACCCGATGGTCAGCTGCGAACATCGCGGGCAATAACAAACGAACACACCCTTTTCGGTGCCTCCAGGTCGTGGACCCTGAGCCCCTCCCATCTGCGGCTTACGTGGGACCCCCGAGGATCCCCATCCTGACCATAGCCGGCACCGATCTGGGCGCTACGGGTCATTTGAAGGTGAACGACATCCTCCGAGACGGACATCGTTGGAGGAACATACGCACCCTCAACAACTTGAAGGGCAGCAACTCGGAGGAATTGCTTCGCGTGATGGCGCCACACCTTGAGGAGCTCAAGATCCTGGGTTCAGTCGGTCCGACGGTCTTGGAGGAGGTGCAGAAGATGCCACTGCTCAAAACGCTGATCGTCAAATGCAGCGTCGACGAAGAGGACGACTTCCCGGACCTGCCGCCGCAGCTGGAGCAGCTGGCAATCTACTACCCGACCGAGAATCAACTCCAAAGTGTGCTGCGCATGCCTAGGCTGCGGAGCTTGATGGTGCACGGCTACCACGCCGAAGAAGACAATTGGGCCTTCCCGCCCTCGCAGCACGGCGCGCTGCTGTGGCTGGGCCTCCAGTTCCACGTGGACCAGAAGGACACCATGATGTCGCTGCTCCGCGCCTTCGCCGCGTCGGTGCAGGAGCTCCAGGTCACCTGTGTCGTCGGCGGCGACGACCCCGCCGTCTTCTCATTCCCCGAGCTGGGCCCGGACCTGGCGGCGTGCGCGCCGGCGGCCCTGAGGCGGCTCGTCCTCCATCGCCCCCTGGTCAGGTGCACGCAGGTGGGCGCCTGCATGCTACAGCTGCAGACCGTCCGGGGCTTCCTGCCCCCCAACGCCAGCGTGTTCTGCGACGTCTGTCACAAGTCTGTTCTCTAGGCGCCGCGCAGTCTGGGTGAGCGAGCCATGACGAGGGTAGGCAGGCGCACACCCAGAAAAGTATGTTCTTGATTTCTCCATGGACTTGAATTTTTGAGTACAATTGTTCTTGATTTGAGCCAAAATACTTGGTATAAGAACAATTTTGTTCTTATACCAAGTATTTTGACTCGAATCAAGAACAATTGGACTCAAAAATTCAAGTCCATGGAGAAATCAAGAACATACTTTTCTGGGTGCAGGCCTGTGCGTCGATTGTAGCGCAAGGGATAGAGCGAGCGAGGCTCATGTTGCGTTTGCAAGGAGACCAAATACTGGTTGCGCTCGCAAAATTAAAATGTCACTGTTTGCAATGTAAGTGCGTCTGAAATTGTTTTGTTTTTTGCACTGCAAAGATTATTGTACAGTTTTGTTTAATATGATTCTTGGATAATTTTATGATTAATACATTTTAAATCAGAAACTCTAAATGGTGTCACCGTTTTATTGTGCACTTGCCTTGCAACCGGCATGTACTTCGCGAACACGGAAGAGGAAAAAATTAGCCCACAGGGCTAAGAAAGAGACAGTCCCCATGGCTAGGCCACAAAGCCCCTCAGTTTTTCGTACAGCTCAAATAGCTTAGCTATAGCGCCGACCGCGGTCCGGGAGCGCAGAGAGCGCATCGGTGTGGCGTGGCAGCGGCTGGCAAACGGGGAAACCTCCTGGGGAAAGAGCGAAAGCGCCCCCCCCCCC